ACAGCTACCTGCTTCTGAATTCAGGGAACATCTGTCCCAGACTCATGCAAGGTCAAACACACTGTTGCAGTTACACATGAAGTCTGAGCAATTTTCTCCATTTTGGAGTTTTAAGGCATCAAGGCAGCGACACAAAGGAAATCATTATACTTCCCCACCACCCGCTCCCACACACACACCCAGAGTATTTTTTAACTCCTTCAGACCCTTTGCAGACAGAGGTGTGGGTGTGGCAGGGCTTCCTGAGCACCAGGCCCAGCACAGGCTGATCAAACGGGTCCAGGGCATCAGCATGACCGATCTACTTCCTGTCCCCAGCTAGGAAATAAATTACCATCACTTAGTGTGTCACCCCTGTCGCAGCACAGAGCGCTCATGTAGATCACCTCAGTCTCAGAGCAGGAGAGAAAACTATTCACAGAACAGATGGCAGCTCAGTCCCAGGCCAGAGAGGGGTGGGGGGTGGAGGAGGGAGGATGAAAACTATTTACTCTAGTCGGAAAAGAAAGCAGAGAGAGCTTTGCTCAAAGTGGAAAATTAACTGTGGGGTTGTGTCAAAACGCTAACACAACTCAGCTCCAGGGGGGGAAAGACAGCAATGAGGTCACTTTTGAGGTAATCACTGTGTGGGGGAGGAGAGAGGGGTGGGGGGTGTGGGTGTAACTACACCAATCTTACATGTTGAAAGAAGAGGCTGGGACACAGGCTGCTGTTAGAAAATAAACTGTGCTGCTAATGTCCTGAAATATGAGTGTTGCCTTACTGTTATAGTTACAGATGTGTTAACGATGCTTAACCGATTTAGTTTGAATGTTTTCAGGCAGAGAGAAGGAGGTGGTGGCAACAACATGTAGAGGATTTTTGTGGACTCACTTCTGTGGGGAACTTTGACACAAACGTGCTTCTGTTGGCTGAGCATCTTGACAGGGTCAGACTCACACTGCTCTACAACAGTCATGTGGTGTTTATAGTCATGAGACACAAGTAGATGATGCAAATACTAAAAATTAAGTCTGTTAACGAACTGTGTCCATAGCAACTGATGGAACTTTCTTACTTTGTAACTTTGTAAGATTTTCTCTGACAGAACTGAGAGAACTTTTGAATAAATAATATATATTAATAAGAAAGGGGGGGGGGGGTCCAGTTCTTGCATTTTTGTACAGTACAGCATCAATGACACCTAAGCACTTATCTATTATAACCTGTGCGACCCCATGTCAAGTTTGTTATGTATTAGTCTATTGCATGGTTTTCTCAACGTTAGTTTAGCTGATCGTTAACTTGAGGTTGTTATTGCAACATATCAGACCTCTGCATGTCTTCTCACTGTCCTGTTCACTGTCCCACATTGGAGAAGCCATCAGAGGACTCAGGTACAGGTGCTGATTTCTCAAGGGTGTAGACTGTGAAGAGAGGTTGTGCTGGTAACAGTTCCTGAAGGTTCCCAGTACTCGGCAGTGACCCATGTGGCCATGTGGTCTGGTCGTACTGATGTCAGGGTGGACAGACATTGTTAGTTTCCTCTGAAACTTCTGTGTCTGAATGCTGCATGAGGAGAACAGGACTCTCTGAGTCTCAGGGTGCATCAATAAAACTGGGTTGTAAACAAGCATCAACCTCCAGGCCCAAAAACTGAAGCCAACACTGAAAACTGCAGTTCCTCTAATGACCACTAGAGTCTGGCCCCAATAGTGAGTCACTCCCCATAGACTCCCATGTTAAAATGTCCAACTTTACAGCAGAAATAAACGTGTTTTACAGCCGATCATGATCTGCAGATTTTCATTAAAAATAGGTGATCGGTAGATGGGAATTAATGCTTCTAGTCACCACTCACCTTAAAACCGATTACCTGTGTTTAATACTCTGGTGTCTGCAGCTTAGATAAGCACAGTGTGCTGTGTTGTGTAGTCCCGCCTCCCACCTTGTTCACTGTGCCGGTGTGCGACAGGCCACCAAAACAAAACAACATGTCGACCGTGTGGAACTTTCCCAGTGATTGACACTGATATACTGTACACCATCTGCAATGCATGCCAAAGATGATTGGTTATGGCTGTGGATCGGGCAATCTCACTCATAGATGATCGGTATTGCCGGCAAAAATACGTGATCTGTTTACATTTTATCAACACTTTAAGTTCTGCATAATTGTGGGCATGGCCTCTTTGAGCGACAGGTGGGCGAATGTATGCCATAAAGTCCCAGCTCCACACATGCCCTCCCTCTTTGACAATTTTTGGATTAGCTGGGAGTTAGGGGCGTAGTCAGACACTGCCAAGATGGTGACGGTGGAGCAGCTCACTATGAGCTTCAAAAACGCTCTTCAGAAACCTGTGGGTGGAGTCACAGAGGCTACGTCCATCTTTATTTACAGTCTGTAAATTGTATAACATGCACAGCAAAAGCCAAAGTGTTTATACTTGTTGCTAATGGCCACACTGAAAGGTGGAGCAAAAAGCGCACCGTCATTTAGGGCGGGGCGATGGGAATTGCACAGAACATGTTTGGACAAAGCATGCGAGACTTCAAGGTTTATGTATAATAAGGATCAGATCTGAACAGACTGGACCAGACCTGATCTTTAATAGAGGACTCAGGTCGTTGGTGGAGGGACTAACTTCTCCATGGGCCAGCAGATGTTTTTCATCAGTCACTTCATTTCCCCTTCATTAATCATTTTCATAAATCTCAAAGCCACTGATTAGACTAACAAGCTTAGTGGACACACACACGCACACACTCTTGCACAGCGATCTTTGTGGGGTCCCATCACTGACATAATGCATTCCCTAACCCTGACCCTAACCTCAACCATCACTACTGAACCTAACCCGAAAACCAAGTCTTAACCATCAAACAGCCATTTAAACGAGTAGGGTCCAGCACCACAAACACACACACACAATCTGCTGGGTTATCTGCTATCTAACGTCCTGTGTTATGGTTGAACCAAACATATCTGTGCATGTATGTACACGTGTGCACAGGAGCAGAGTAAACCTCAGCCCTCCTCCCCCCATCATCGACCTGCAGAGAACAGAGCTGTGTGTAATTACAGGCTCTTTGCTGCAGATGTACTAAAACCTACACACACACACACACACACACACACACACACACACACACACACACACACACATATATATGATCATGATTTTATACTTGCCTCTACTAAATAAGTATTTAACAGCTGGACTGGTTCATCGGTTATTTGCCAAATGAATGACTTGTCACTAAGTTCTTTGTAAAACAGCTGGTGGTGTGTATACAAATCTATATATATATATATATATATGTATATATCGTATGTTGATGAACAAATTATTCAAGTTAGCTCACAGCCCAGCACCCTGCAGCTCGATTGGCATCGCCAGAGAACACCAGAATTGTCAGGTCCACCTCTGGCGCCCTGTTCTCTTCACAGATGAGAGCAGGTTCACACTGAGCACATGTGACAGGCGTGAAAGAGTCTGGAGACGCCAAACTTCATTCCTTTACTCACCAACAGCTGTCTCCAGAGGTGGAAACAAACACCAATATTAACTCTTGTCTTCATCACGTCTTTTTTTTTTCTTCTGAAGTTAGCATGCTAACCAGCTAGCTCTGGCCCATCTCATCACTTTCCGATAGTAATTACTGTAGCCTCCAATCTGCCCAAAAGAAGTAGCTGCTCAGAGGATGAATTCTAACCTTTTGTCTAGTAACACAATGATGGCTGAAGCTCTTGACAAGCGACAAACACCACCACCTGCCTCTGACAAGAAACCACGTTCAGCAGCAGAGAAAACTTGCACATAGACCCTTTAAGTGTCGTAACAACAACATGTCATCCTGTTTCCACTGCTTGTGTGATATGAACATGAAAATGTGGAGCTCTGTGTCTGCACATGTTTGTAGTGGTGTGTTGAAGGTTGGCCTCTAACAGCAGTAGATGATTTTAATAAAACCAGCCTTCTGTGATCAATGACTACCAGCTGCTGCCAGCTGAGAAGACACCACCTAGTGATATTATTAATGATGTAGCACTGTGTCGTTACAGTTCTTTTAAATGTGTGTGCGTCTGACTGTACAGGGCTTGTCCTGAACTCCAGGTTTTACACCTGTAGTTGTGTTTACTTATATATATAAGTAAATAAAACAAAGACGGTTTCCTTTCGGTTTCAGTCTGTTTTGTTTTAATTTTTATTCCTCTGCAACGGCGACAGTCAGAGCTGGAGCCGTATTGTTTTCGGATTGTCTGTCCCATTCTCGTGGACATAATATCTGAGTAACGCCTTGACGGAACTTCAAATTTGGCACAAACATTCACTTGGACTCAAGGATGAGCTGATGATTCTAATTACAAATGAACCAAGATAGGTAAACATAAGTCAGAAGTGAGCAGTGCCAGTCCATTGTATGAGAAACAGCTAATACCTGGACTAATTCAAACAAGTGAACAATCTAAACGTTTACATGTTGAAAGCTCAGTCGCTGTAACTATACCTGTGTGCTCCAGACGTCATCACTCCTCATCTTCTGTGTCCTGTCTCTTGAAGAACCAGGTTGTTTTCCTCTTCCTCTTCTCTTGGACTTATTATTATGACTCCTCTCAGTCAAACTGCTGCTGGAGCTCACATGTCATGAATAATGCTTAGTGTGTAGGAAGAGGATGGACAAGACATAGGGGTTTGGGGGTGGTTGGTTATTTACTATTATTCATGCACTTTTTAACGCAGTACTTGTAAAATACATATATTACAGCTGATACCATTGGACGGATAATTGAATGAGGTGCAGTGTGTGTGTGTGTGTGTGTGTGTGTGTGTGTGTGTGTGTGTGTGTGTGTGTGTGTTTGTGTGTGTATGCATTTAAAATCAGTCCAGTCTAGTGTATCCATATGTTTGCATGTGTATCCCTTTGTTCTGCATGTGCCACCTCTCACCCTCATCTCTCATTCTCCATGTGTCTCTCCTTCCTCTTCCTCTCTCCTCTGTCTGGGTTCTGTGTTGCAGCCAACTGCGTCCCTCAGTGCCAGAACGGAGGAATGTGCCTGAGGCCTCAGCTCTGTGTCTGCAAGCCTGGCTCAAAGGGGAAGGCATGCGAGCAGAAGACTGTGTCCACACACCCCTTCCCAGCAGCACCTGGGAACGAACCCACCAATGGGCACAACACTGGTTACACTAATGGACACAATGGAGTACCACAGCGGCCCATACCTCAGCAAGTGTCTCCCCATGGCTACGCCTCTGCCCCCCCACCGGCGACCAATATGGCTCAGATGAAACTCACTCTCAAGCCAGCCCCCCAGCTCGTTCGACCACATTACATCCAGCAACACATCCAGCAGCAGTGAGTACCATGCTTCATCATCTGACCTCATTCATATAGATTCAGTGAAGGACTCTGGGAGAAGGTTTCAGAGCCGCCCAGTTGTCCACTGTGGAGCTGCTCATTGATTCTGCTGCAGAACCACTGGAACAGCTGGATGCTACAGCTGATGTTTTCTACACTGCTTTCTTACACTGTACCTTTATAACTCGATCAGTCACCACTTCACCCAGTGAAAGTTTCGCTTTCACACACCATTTTTCACTGGCTTATATTTTAGTTGTTTCTTCTTCAAAAACAAAGGTAGTCAGTCAACTAAAATAGATAGATAGATAGATACTTTATTTATCCCCTAGGGGAAATTCATGTGTCTCATTGTTGATAATAATAATAATAATAATACTAATAGTAATAAGAACAGTCAATAATAAATAAACAATAATAATTAGATTAGTCCACTTCCTTTGGCTGAGGTTTTGTATAGCCTGATGGGCAGTGGGAACAAAGGATCTCCTGAACCTCTCTGTTCTGCAGCGCAGTGAGATGAGACGTTTGCTGCAGCTGTAGCTGCTTCTCTGTCCTGCCAGAATGTTGTGTAGAAGGTGGTTGGTATTGTTCAAGATGGCCTCCATCTTACATTGCATGCGTCTCTCCACAACAGTCCTGAGTGAGTCCAGACTCCTGCCAAGCACAGAGCCAGCCTTTTTTACTGGCTTGTCCAGTCTCTTTGTGTTCATGTCGGACATGCTGCTGCCCCAGCAGACTGCATCTTAAAAGATTACACCGGCCACCACAGACTGATAAAACACGTGCAGCATTTCACTGCAGATATCAAAGGACCTGAGCTCTGCCCCTTCAGGTAGATGGCATCCGTTCTCAGGGACCAGTCCAGTTTACTGTCCAGGTGCACACCTAGGTATTTATAAGTGTGCATCACCTCAGTGTCCTTCCCTCGAATGTTGACTGGCTGAAGGGTGGGCCTAGACCTCCGAAAGTCCATGACCATCTCCTTGGTCTTGGAGGTGTTCAGAAGGAGGCAGTTCTTGTTGCTCCATTCACTGAAGGCCATTGTCAGATCCCTGTACTCCTCTTCCTGCCCATTCCTGATACGCACCACAATAGCTGTGTCATCCGAGTATTTCTGGATGTGGCAGGACACAGAGTTGTATTTAAAGTCGGCCGTATACAGGGTGAACAGGAACGGAGCCAGAACAGTTCCCTGTGGAGCCCCAGTGCTGCTCATCACTTTCCCTGAGACACAGTTACCCAGCCTGATGAACTGTGGTCGTCTTGTCAGGTAATCCACAATCCAGGACGTGACGCAGGGATCCACCCCCATCCCTTCCAGCTTGTCTTTAAGGATGGGGGGTTGGATGGTGTTAAATGCACTTGAAAAATCAAAGAACATAATCCTCATGTAACTACCTGGCTCATCCAAGTAAGAATGGGCCGGTGGAGCATGTAAAGGACGGCATCAATGTCTTCTTTGTAGGCGAACTGTAGGGGGTCTAGTGCATGTTCAACCTGTGGCCTCAGAAGGTGGAGAAGCAGCCGCTCCAGGATCTTCATGATGTGTGATGTGAGGGCCACCGGTCTGTAGTCATTTATCTCAGCCGGTCGTCCTACTTTAGGTACTGGAACAAGACATGATGTTTTCCACAGATCCTCTGGAGAGGCTCAGCCAGCTGGGCTGCACAGTCCTTCAACAGCCTCGGACACACACCGTCCGGGCCTGTTGCCTTTCCAGGGCGTAGCCTCTTGAGCTCCGCCCTCACCTCCTCCACTGTAAAGGACAGGAGACTTGACCCCAGTGTGGAGGGAGCTGCAGCTGCAGTGTCAGGTTGTGGAGGAGATGCTGTAGGAGAAGCTGCAGCTGAAGCAGTGGGAGAGAGAACAGGTGAGGCTGTGTCACACCTGTTGTAGAACAGGTTGAACTCATTGGCCTTGTCCACATCACCTGATGTTGCCTGGCTGTTCTTCTCTGAACTGACTCGACCCACTATTAGGAATTGTTGGTTTGAGTCATCCTGTTGAACTGAAGACATCAGGCATATATCAGATATCTGGTAGAAAGCATGTTATATGGGTCATGGTGAATGAGCTATGTGTAAGTTTTGTTATAGCTACATAGCTAACATTAGCATTAGCAGCTGTTTACTTTCCAGTCTAGAAGATACGTTGTGAGTTCAGCATCAAACTTCATTCCTTTACTCACCAACAGCTGTCTCCAGAGGTGGAAACAAACACCAATTTTAACTCTTGTTTTTATCGCTTTTGTACTGAAGTTAGCATGCTAATGAGCTAGCTCCTCTCTCTGAAAGTGGCTCTCTGTAGCTTCCAGTCTGTCCCAAAGAAGTAGCTGCTCAGAGGATGTATTATAACCCCATATTGTAAACACAACAATGACTGAAGCTCTTGTCAAGGGACAGTAACCACCACCTGTTCCTGATAAGAAACCACATTCAGCTGCAGACAAAACTTTCAAACAGCCCCTTTAAAGGAAACCACTGGACTGTTTCAGTTTGCTTCAGGTTCAGGTTTACCTGTAGTTAAGAAGTTTTATTTTAACCAAGAAAAGTTCCCTAACCTTTGTGATTTTAACCTAAACCATAACCTTTCCCTAACCAAGTTATTTTATACCTAACCTATCCAACCGTTAACCATAAGGCAGGTCAGCTTACCATGACGCATTACATAGTAGTTCTGACCACTTGTTAAGTTGTAGTTCATCACAGGAGCCAGTCCTACACAATCTACTATAATACCATTACATCATTATTAAACACAGTGCAGTGTCCTAAATTAATCCAAGTCACTACAGAGTCAATCCAGAAATAAAGATGCCAATAATCAGCCCTACAACCAAACAAAGCCAATAAATCACCAATACATATGGAGCCATAACTGTCTGAGTACATCCAGTCTCTCTGAGCAAACTGTAATATAACAGACCACAGCTGCAGGCACTAAGGCTCTGAAGGTCTCTGCGGCATCTGGGCCTGTTTAACTGAGTGAAGAACTGAACCCTCTCCTTTACTTCAGGGTACAGACCCAGTCCAATGAGTCAGCCTCTTAATACTGTTTCTGTGATGAACTGTAAAACTGTTACTGCAGGATGAAACAGCCCCTGACTACTGTGTTCTGATAGATAACACCAAACTGAGATTCCTGCCTTTTTTGTTTAGTTTTTGCCCCTGTGAACCAGTTTAATACCTACACTTCTCTTGTGGACCAGGATAGGTGGACTATACCGCTCCCGCCTTTACTGCCACAGAAATCTCCGATCCCAGTGAGTTCAGGGTGTACAGATTTTGAATTGGTATATGGAGTGGAACAGTTGGACTGGAGCATCCCTGATACTGATGACTTACTCAAGTTCAAAATCCTGAACCTTTTGTTGTGACCTTGACAGGGAGCAATAAGGAAAGATGCAACACAGACAGACTGTTTCAAGTTCAAGGTTATTACCACACAAACAGCCCATTACAGCCTGTGAAGTTATATATTTATTATCATTATTAGTATTTAATTTTTATTTAATTTGATTTTTATTTATTTTTATTTTTCTGTTTAATATTATTTTTGTCTGGTAGCAAATGTTCTGGGGCCAGATACTAGTCTGTGGACCTGGGTTTGGGAACCTGCCTCAAATGACTTACATGTCCTGGGGATAAGAACCTGAATTACACCTCAAATAGTTCAGGTTCATTCAACAAGAACATCCAGACATGTGTTCTGGACCAGTCTAATATCTGGACAAATCTGACATCTGGATCAGTCTGACATCTGGACCAGTCTGATACCTGGACCAGTCTGACATCTGAACCAGTCTGACATCTGGACCAGTCTGATACCTGGACCAGTCTGACATCTGCATCAGTCTGAAATCTGGACTATGAAGCCAGGGTATAATAATTCGTCCCCTGAAAAAAATGTATGTTGTCGTTTGTGCTACGTGCTGCTTGTTTCTGTATTTGCTTGTGTTGTGTGTATTCACAGTGAATGCAAAAGATATTTTTTTTGCTGCAGTGCGTTGAACTCTCACGGCCAATGTACTTTCTGCAATAAGTCCATGTGTCTAATAGGCTTATTAGAGGCCAATATAGGCCAATATTCATAATATTGGAGCGTTGGCAAGGTTTTTTGGGCAGTTTTTATGCCTTTATTTGATAGGGAAAGTGGAGACAGACAGGAAATATGGGAGAGAGAGTGGGGGAGAGACTTACAGTAAAGGATTCGGAAGTTGAACTGGGACCTGCTGCTCAGGGCTCAGTATGCCCATATGGTAAGTGCCCTAACTGTTCATTCATTGGGACGTCCTGTTGGCAAGGTACTTATATGGAAAATAGTTGAATGGGGTTGAAGGTGGTGAAGGGCAAGGGTGGAGGCAGGCTGGCTGTTCAGGGAGGAGGTGAGATGGTGTCCGGCTGAGGTGTAGTCTGGCAGATGCGGAGACAGCGTGAGCTGGAGATCTGGTCTGGCTCAAGGGATCACTGAGGCACAGGAGAAAACCAGGTCAGCAGAGAGCACGAGGGGAAACACAAGAGAGAACGCGGGTAGGTATGAGGAAGCACTTAAGCACACAACACGCACGCACACAGATGAACAGGAGGGAAGAGAGAAAAAACTACCACAGCCTGAGCCATGACAAATATCACAATGTTTCCAGACATATGATATTTTTCATAAAAGAAAAAAAAAATTATGTAAAAAAATGATGTATCTATTTTATCTAATGATACTTCTAATAATATAATTATCTATCATAAAAACCTGTGATAACATTGCAATATTTGATCTGGACTATATAGAGATATTCATACTAGGCCTCCTGCAGATTTCAGGTAAACACTTAGGGAAACAACATCCTGCAAGGTTGGATGGTGGGTACAGGTGGGCGGGGCTTGGGGCGTGGCTTAGAGTGGTGACTGCTTTGTTGTGACATCACAATGTTCCAGAAGTCCTGACGGCTGGTTTTAAAGGTGTAATGTTTGGCAGCATTTCCTCTTCGCCCCTGTCCA